ATGACATCATCCCTTTGGTTTCTATAAAAGGAAGACTCACACTGCCAGAAGAGTGCTCCTAGTCACTGAACTAGAAGGTACACTGAAATTATATGCAAGGATTCCTTGTCTTCCATTTAAAAGACAGACCCATGGACCTGATGACGGATATTTTGGTTTCATATGTCCTGCATCTGGGAAGAAGATATCTAGGACAGGAATGCACATGTCCTGACAACCAGCAGATGTCTTCCTTAAAAGAGAAGTTTATGTTTCTTTTGTTGAAGAAGTTTCCTATGGCATGTCTGAAGAAGCCATTGCCCATTGTCAATGCAACCCAATGGTACAATAAGACTTTAAAAAACCTTATGTCATCACTAATTCCAAAGAAAATGTTTCCAGAACCAACAGATGTGATTATGGTCTAAGAACCCATGAACACAGCCAGTGCTATTAAGAACTTTTCTTGCTGAATCAGGAAAAATTTCCAGGCATCACATTTGCCAGCAGCTGAAAGGATGTGTCCCTGACTCTGACTTTTCTCCTCATTTGCCTTGTTGTGCCTGCCTGACTGAGAAGAATGACTGGCATCAGAAAAATCTGCAATTACTATGAAAGTTCACAAAACCTTCCAGCCTGACTGAGAAGCCTGGGTGGCATGACAACAGACAAACAGAATTATGTTGAAAATGACTATAGCCTTCATGCCTAGTTCTGTTGTGGCTTTCAACTCCTTCAGGTCTCAGGGTGCCTGTCTAGTTCCCAGAGTAGGAGAAAGCCCAGATGATGGAGCAGAACGACCTCCATGAGGGCTTTCAGTGCAGAGGGCTTGCATCCTGCAAGGGATTGATCAATTGGAGGGGGCATTCAAAGCTGAAATTTTGAACAGCTCAGAAGGCATTGAAAACCTCTATTCTGGGAAGGGCAACTGGAGCTAGGAGAAATGCAAACCTTAGGACCTCAACAGACACTGCAACCATGAACTTATGAGAAAGGTGCTCAGCAAGCTGGGATGAGCCAAAAAGAAACTGAAAATGGCTCCTTTTTATTTTAGAAAAATGACTAGCTCAAAACATCAGTGTTGGTGTAATGCTTAGAATGGTTAGTGCTATTGTGGCTTTATTTGTTTGTGTTGCTTCTCAAAAGGCAATTGCCAGTCATGTTCCGGGAGAAAAAAAAAAAGTAAAGGAACCAGCAGGATACTAAAAAATACTTCTTTCTCCATTTTAGAAAAAAGTTCTGCTAAAAATAATCCAGTGCTGGTCTAAAGGTTTCAAAGGAGTAAACCTTGTCATGGCATTACTTCTTTGTGATTTTTTTCTTATAAGGAGAGGTATATTGGGAGAAATGTTCTGGTGAAAACAAAAAATAAAGGAAACAAAAGCAAACCAAAAGTACTTCCTTTATTTTTTTATTTTGGAGTTGGAGTCCCAGACTGGAGAGCAGTGGCCGCTCCCGGCCACCGCAGCTTCGACCTGCTGGGCTCTGGCCATCCTTCCGCCTCAGCCTTCCAAGTAGCTGGAACTACAGGCGTGCGTTACCACACCCGGCTGATTTTTTGATTTATTGTAGAGATGAGGTCTCGCCAAGTTGCCCAGGCGAGTCTTGAATCCGCGGGCTCAGGCAATCCACTCACCTCAGCCTCCCAAAGGCGTGGGATTACAGGCTGAGCCACTGAGCCTGGCTCCAAAGCAGTTTCTAAATATCTAGTTATAGACAGAAAATTACTAGAATTTGTATAAATATATAACAATTTACCCTGGCACTACCTACATCGGTTCAGCAATAAAAATGAACTGACAGTCTTGACCATTCAAGACTTTGCGAATAAGACAAAATAAACTCCTTTTCAGGTAAAATAGCTTAGTAAATCAAATAGTACCCCAGAAAAAATTAGTGCTCTGAGTTTATTTTTGTGGACTTCAAATTTCTTGTTAGAATGAAATCAAATAATGTCAAGTATTTTAATAGCAGAGGCCTCACTGGAAGACCGCTGCCTCAGGTAGTGTGATTAGGGATGCTGGGAGCACTTCTTCCACGAACCAAAATGCCCTTATCTGCTCCCTGGGAGCTGAGGCGCCACCAGAGATGCTCTATGACTTTAAGAAAGGAGTCAAAACCTTCAGTGTGCACAGGAGCCAGCAGTCAACTGAAAGGGACAACTTTGTTGTGGCAGGGATGGTGAAGTACTTCCTGTCTCTCAAAGAGACATCAGCTTCTCTACTATCGCCACTGTGAACACAGAACCAGAACCAGAGGGGCAGTACCTTATCGTTTTCCAAATTAATTAAGCCAGACTTTTATATGAAATATCAGACTAAAATGTTGATGACTTACTTAAGAAGACCCTTCTGGGGTAAGAGTACTGCTTATTCTGTTATCAGCTTTTCTTATTCAAGTCTGCAGGAGAACATTCCAGCTCACTTTTGAGAACTGGTTTTATATGATAGAAAAGCAGGAACACTGTAAATATTTCATGCTGCTGTCTCAGGTCAAGATGATTTGTGAGTGCTTATTGTTCGGATCATATGTGCGTGGTGTAGTACGCTGGTATTCATTACAATCTTCTTATACATTCTCACCTTTTTTTTTTTTTGAGTTGGAGTCTCTATCACCCAGGCTAGAGTGCAGTGGCATGCGCACGGCCACTGCAGCCTCAACCTGTTGGGCTCAGGCGATCCTTCTGCCTCAGCCTTCCAAGTAGTTGGAACCACAGGCATGTATCACCATGCCCTGCTAATTTTTTGGTTTATTGTAGAGATGAGGTCTTGCCAAGTTGCCCAGGCTGGTCTCAAATCCTTAGGTTCAGACAATCCTCTTATTTCTGCCTCCCAAAGTGCTGGGATTACAGGTATGAGCCACCACGCCTGGCCCATCTTTTTTTTTTTTTTTTAATCTGACAAAGAAGATCACAAAAACATGAAACATTTGTAGAAGTCAGTGGAATTTTATTGTATGAAATCACTCAAAAGTTGTGTCTTCTATGTTTACCCTTACATTACATGTAATTTATTTACATAGAGATTCAAAATTTCAGTTGCTTGAGATTAATAGTCCTTGAAAATTTCCCTGGAAAATATATTAATTTACTCCATTTCATTTTTCCTACTTTCAGCTAGATAACTACCTCATCAGTGTCTCTCAGCCTCTTGCTGAGACATCTGAATACAAGGAGACCCTTAGCAATAATATGTAAAGTAAACTTACATAAGGAGAGCGGCCCACAACAAAACAAAAAGTTACACCCCCCTGAGTAAGGAAGAGTAGTAACAATAGGAGTACTAATTATTATTATCATGATTAGAACAGTTATAGCTGCTACCACTTAATATCTACCAAATATTATTCCAGGTACCCTACAACGGCTCTCTCTAATCCTCACAATATCCTTCTTTTTTTTTCTTCTTGAGTTGGAGTCTCACTCTGTCACCCAGACTGGAGTGCAGTGGCTGCTCCCGGCCACCGCAGCCTCGACCTGCTGGGCTCTGGCGATCCTTCCGCCTCAGCTTTCCAAGTAGCTGGAACTACAGGCCCGCGCTGCCACATCTGGCTAGTTTTTTTTATTTATTGTAGAGATGAGGTCTCGCCAAGTTGCCCAGGCGGGTCTTAAACCCGCAGGCTCAGGCAATCCACTCACCCCAGTCACCCAAAGGCGCGGGATTACAGGCTGAGCCACCGAGCCCGGCTACAATATCCTTTTTAAATTGGTATGTTTATTCTCATTTTACAAATATGAAAGCTGAGGTTCACAGGGAGGAGGCACCTTGCTCAGAGTACCAGGACAATGGTCATAGAGCCCCCATGAAATCCAGGACTATCCAAGGGCACCCTGAGGCTCCCATTTACAGGCTGGCCTCAACCCAACAATTCTTTATTAACAATATTTCCTTTCCTGGCCCTGGTTTACAACTACAATGATGAACACACAGCTCTTGCCCACAGAGGCATTATACTCTAGTAGAAGAAACATAAATAAAAATTCAAAACAATGTGTGGCAGGAGAGGTAAATACAAACTATTGAGCAAGTGCTGAAAGAGACAGCAAACCCAGAACAGGGCTTCAAAGGGTCTCTGGAGGGCATGAGACTCTTGACTGAATCCTAAGGAAAGAGTGCGAATTAGTGTAAAGAAGTAGGGGATGAATATTCTAGGTACGAGACACAAACAAGCCGGGTTCGGTGGCTGAGCCTGTAATCCCACGCCTTTGGGAGGCTGAGGTGAGTAGATTGCCTGAGCCCGCGGGTTCGAGACCCACCCGGGCAACTTGGCGAGACCTCATCTCTACAATAAATCAAAATGAGCCAGGCGTGGTAGCGCGCGCCTGTAATTCTGGCTACTCGGAAGGCTGAGGCGGAAGGATCGCTGGAGCCCAGCAGTGGAGGCTGTGGTGGCCGAGAGCGGCCACTGCACTCCAGTCTGGGTGACAGAGTGAGACTCCAACTCAAAAAAAAAAAAAAAAAAAAAAAGAGAAACACAAACAGCATTAACAACTGTGAGAGAAAGTGCTGCTCTGAGCAAATAAAAAGCAGTTGAGCACCTGTGTCCATTCAAGTTCAAGCTGCAGAGTAGAAGCCAGGGGGCTGTCTCCTGGAGAAGGTAATACCAAAGTGTCACGTGGTCAGTCTGGATTTAAAAAGGAACATTCTAGCAGCCATGTGAAGGATGGACTGGAGGGCATGTTTGAAAGTTCTTAGGACTCTTAGTTTTTTTGGTTTTTTTTCCTGGTTGTTCCATTCTTCATTTTTTATTTTCTTTTCCTGTTAGCAGAAATCACAAAAATAGCAGTGGGGGGTACAAGTAGTTTTGGTCTGGGCTTTCTTAGTTCTAACTACTTTGTCCTCAGCAAAATTTTCCCAGGAGAGACCATTGTTTTGCTCACAGAGAACAACTTGCCATCATCACCAAGTGCCAGCTGTTAAGTACTAAATGCAAAAATAGCAGGCCACACTGCCCTTGGCACAGCCAGCACCATGCATGCATAGATACAGTAGCTCATCCTAGAAAGAAAGATGGACGATGTATTGTCAGCAGAAATCACAAATTTATTAACTCTTAAATATATCAATCAATCATTTACCATTATGGCAAGAAATATATACAGTGTCCCATGGTAAACTGCAGTGTTTCAAAGTGATAGAAGATAATAAATGTGTAATTCAATTGTGGTGGAGAGAACAAATCACAATTTCTTCACATCTTAGTGTGGAAGACAAACTTGATCTACAGTAATATTTCAACACCACATGCTAAGTTAAAAGTGTAAAAAAAAACACTCTATACCTATTTTTTTTTAAAAATACATGTATGCCACGTATAGCCGCTTCACAAAAAGGTAAAAGAAATTAAAAAGGGAAAAATGAGGCCATTACTTTTTCACAGATCTTATTGGCAGGTTAACATGGCTCAATACATTTACCGTATATATTTATTTTAAATATATATTGTTTTAAATTGTGTAATAATGATCAGAAAAGCTTTAACCCATCTACCAAAACATCCACTAGCAGTAATATCTAAAGTGATTAGTAATCAACACAGAAAGGTGACATGAGAGAAAAGAGGGAGGGTTTTTGTTGTTTTGTTTTTTGCTTCTGCTTTAAAAATAGGCTTTCTGAGGACTGTGAATTACTATCATTAAAATAACGATGATGGAGATTCCATGCACTATAAAGTATTTCAGGAAAGAGAAAAAGCCTCATAGGAATTGAATCAACAATGGAAAAATGAGAAGCACAAAGAAAACCCAGGACATTTCCCTTTTCTTTTTTGTTTTAAACTGGAAAATCCTAACTCCTCCGAGGACGATAATGATACTCTGACTCAATCAAGAGAGAATCTAAAAAAGCACAAGTCACAAGGATCAAGTTCAAAACACTTATGAGAGTGGAAAACATTCATAAGTCTTCTAAATCTAGAAAACTAGCTAGTGATGATGCCAGAGCGGCCCTTGCCTCCCACAAGGCGGAAGTGAGTGCATTTGCACAAAACCCTGCTGTGCTATCAACTTTGAATTCTCCTGACAACTGTCCCAATTAGTAAAACTTGGCAGTTACAGGAGGAACCTACTTGCTTTTATCATAAGTTCAAACAATTTGAATATCTCCAACATACGATACCTAAGTCCAAAGAGAGCCTAAGCAAAATTTAAAACCTCTAAATCTTGACATTTTTGTGGGCCCTTAAAATGATCAAAAGTGCTAGTTTAGCTACCTCCAAAAGACCTTGATTTCTATTTTACCTTAATTATGCAAATTCCACTTCCATTCTTTTCTCACACACTACTACTCACCCAAAAAAGAAAAGAAAAATAAGTAGGAAAATAATGGAACAAAAGAAAAATTTAAAAAGGAAGCCAACAAAAGAAACAAAGAAATAGGATAAAGAAAACAGCACAGATTTAAGAAAGGAAAAAAAATTCAATCCAGCAAATTCACCAAAACACTTTGAATATGTCCTAAAGTGATTAAATGATGTGAATTTTTCCAGTTTGCGCAGTTGACTAAAAACAGCATGGCTTTAGATGGCAGCAAACCAACTGATTCTTGCTTCTAAATTCATAAGTGATTTTACCCACATATCAAACCACTTTACTTGTTAAGCAGCAAAGCTTTCAATGAAAAATCATCCATTTCAACCAGGATCACACCAGGAAACTGAAGATATATTTTTTGCCTTAAAAAACAAAAACAAAGCAAAAACCAAGCCCAAACAGATTAACAGCAAAGAGTTCTAAAAAATTTACATTTCTCTTACAAACTGTCATTCAGAGAACAATAGTTGTTAAGTCTGTTAAATCTTGGCATAAACAGAGAAACTTGATGAATAGTTGAACTTGGAATATTGTGGAATTTTTTTGTCTGACCTCCCCCTATTGTTTGCCAACAGTAATTTAAGTTTGCATGGAACATCCCCATAGTTGAACTGTAAACAATGTATAGGAAGGAATCTATGATAAGATGATGCATCACATATGCATTACACGTAGGACCTTCACAACTTCATGCACTCGGAAACATGCATGAAGAGGAGGAGAGGACGGCCCAGGGTCACCATCCGGGTGCCTTGAGAACAGAGAATGCAGAAGTGGCACTGTTGATATTTAGCTGAAAGGAGAAAAGAGGAGGAAGAAATAAAATACATTGTTTTATAAAATATCATCAAATTGCTTTTCCATAGATGTAATTAGGCTACAATTTTATAACTCAGCTAGCCAATAGACTGAAAATGCTATGTGTACGAGATCTTTGCTTGTGATCAGTATAAGAAAAAATACATGATGTTAAAGACAGTATTAAAATAGGAAATCAGTATTAATCAACTATTAGTGCACACAAAGCTAAGCTAAAAATAATGAGACAGATATAGGCTTTAATCATATTGTTAAATCTAAATATACATTTTAAGCGTTCATATTAACTAGAAAAATTAATAAATGAATATTAACATTTGGGTGAAATAGACTTAAATTCAAGCTCATCCTTTGCTTTTGTCATTATTCTCAGATTCCTTGGGAAATCAAACCTAGAAGTCAATTTAATAAGGCATATAGTCTCAAAAGTAGACAAAGCATGATTATTCTTATTTAATTGGAGATCTTTCTTTTATTTATTTATTTATTTTTGAGTTGGAGTCTCATTCTGTTGCCCAGGCTAGAGTGCAGTGACATGCTCACAGCCACCGCAGCCTCGACCTGCTGGGCTCAGGCGATCCTTCTGTTTCAACCTTTCAAGTAGCTGGAACTACAGGTGTGTGCTTACCACCCCCGGCTTATTTTTTGGTTTACTGTAGAGTCGAGGGCTCAACAAGTTGCCCAGGCTGGTCTCGAATCCCTGAACTCAGGCAATCCTCTTGCTTTGGCCTCTCAAAGTGCTGGGATTATAGGTTTGAGCCACCATGCCTGGCCCGGAGATCTTTCTTTAAAGTAACAGCATGGAGCACTATATCTTTAAAAGCTCTGTGGTTCTGTGCTTTAAATGGGGCAAATATTCACAACAGCACCACACATATCTGAAGTTTGTTGTACCATGTTTAAGGAAAAAAATCATGAAAAACAACAACACAGGCATGAAGTTAATTACAGTCAACTTTCAATTATCCTCCGGAATTACCCCATTTTATGAGTTTTAAATTTCAGCTTGACTTCCTCCTGTGGCCTGTCCTCATGGTTAAGTACCATTACATTCAGTCAGGCACAGCAAATTAATTTACAGATTAACTTCAGTCAACTGTTTATAGGAATTGCAACCTCCTGAAAAAACAGTAAGATACCAAAGGATCCTAAAGCCTAATATAAATTAGGTCTGGATAATTGAGAGTTGCTTGAATCGACTCAGACATAATTTTCTTTCAATGTAAGAACTCCAGGATGCTAAAATGACATAATCCATATGTTGAAAAAAGTTCTCAGAGTTTACTGACTTTAAAATAACAGCTATGTTACAAAAATGCGACTGAACATTAGACTCAAGAGCTCATGCAAAATTGTTAAAAAATTTCAAAGACCTTGTATGTTTTTCATTTAATATAATGCAAGAGAAAATACTTTCAAAAGGAAGAAAAACAACCATGCAGCTTTTCAGTCATTAGCTCCAATCACAAAGTCTCATGGAGCAGGATGCTACTTACAAGACCCATATGGGAAGGGTTTTCAGGCCTTAGATGTTTTGCCACAAAGAGGTGCCTCCTGAGAAGTTTTCTTTCCCATTTGGAATACAGGGTGGCCTATTAAGAGAAGCCCCATTTAAGCCACCTGGCATGAAATGAAGTTTTCTTAAATAGGCTCTGTCCCATAAACACAGCAGGGAATTGCGGAGAAACATAGCCCCCCAAACACTGCATGAATGTAATCCTTTCTATATTAACTGGCAATTTGTGTTGTACCTCTTTGGGGTAAAAAACACACAAACATACAAAAACAGGTGTCTTCATTATCTTCATATTCCTTTTGTATCTTTCTCTTAATTAAATAGCTACTGTTTTTGGAATAAATTTCAACCTACTGTTTCTTTGTTTGGGCTTGGTTTTTGTGTTTGTTGACACACTTTTTACAAATCCAACAGTGATATATAATAATTACAGCTATAGAGAAGGCCTCTGAAAACCACTGTGGTATGTTCTCCAACTAAGAAATCCTGATGGATTCTCTGGAGTGAGTTGAATGGCTGTTTGCATGAACTTGACTCTCCATTCCACACCCCAAAGAGTAACAGGTGATACTGGTCAGAGAGTGTGGAAAGAGATCAGCAGTGGGCCAAACTCCTACTAACATGAGACTAACTCCCCTTCTCGTTTTCTTCTCACTTCGCTTTCCTGATAAACTCTTTTCCATTATTCCCTTTATCCTAGTTGGAAACAGCCTTCCTAACCCATGATGCTCTATCATATTAAACTAACAACCTGACACAATACTTTTCTTCATGATGCTCCTTTAGTTGGACTATCTTCCTTTTGTTTTTTCTTTCTGTCTCTTCATTTAAGACCTCATCCAAAACTCAGTCTTATACACAAAGTATACTTCCAAACTGTTATAAACAATTTGCTACACTGGTCATTCATTCCACTCTACCCTGAAGTTGAATATAAAATTTATTATATAGTTTTTTTCCTTTGGAATCAGTGTTTAGTTTTTTCTAGTTTTTTTTTCTAAACTAGGACACATGTTCCTAGAAAGCAACATCTTCTACCTCACATTGAATCTGGCACAGGTTAACCACACAGAAGATGCTTGATAAATATTTGTCTAACTGTTGACTGAAAGAGCCAAAATCCGAGGGAGAGTGGTGAGGTGAGAAAGACACTGATATTTAAGTGCTGTCTTTTATAAATTTTTAAAATATCTGTAACTGAGCCCCAGGGGATAATCTATGAAGTAAGACTTCTGAAAATACATTGGTCATTTTAGAAAGTACTCTTGATAATGCTTTTCTCTTACATGCCCTTCCTCTGACAGTTGTGAAAATGAAGTCACAAATATTATGCCTTATTACATGAGTACCCCTGATTTCAACCTGTGAGACACCACCTTGACAAGGCAGTCTCTAGTTCTTACCTAAAACTACTGTCTACTGCTCTATGGCAAGGTTCGGCCTCAGAATGGCTGGTCTGATTGCTCTTTCCAGAGAACTGTAGACTTTTTCCACAAAGGCATTTATTTCCATCAATGGTACCAACCACTAGCACTAAATAACTATGCCATGCTATTAAAAATGGAAGAAGTAGAAGGAGCTGACCATGGGCATATTAACAAAGAAGCTGGCAGCCTGGAAATATTTACTTGATGGGTACTGTTGGTGATCCCGAGCGATGAAAATGAACATTCTGCCACTTTCCATCCCGGCGGTGCCACACACGGGTCTCTTCTGACTGCATTGTCTTTGGCATTCCACTGCCATCCATGTACTGCGTGAGCCTAATATATGCTATGCAGGCAGCATCGTCTCCCACCAGATGTACATGAGGGTTCAGGATAATAGTGTGGATTGGTTTATTGCTTTTGGACAAAGCTGAAAAAGAACAACATAAAAAGCAAAATTTAGTTTCTATGTAAACTAAAACCAGTAATAACGTCAGTTGGGATCAATAAATAAAATGCCATTTATCCTCTCATTAATTAATTATTCTACTAAATGTTTGCATGAAGCAATGATGGTCACTGGGCAAAGTATCAAGGATAAGAGAAAGAGCAAAAGTGGACACCGTCTTTCTTTTCTTTTCTTTTTTTTTTTGAATTGGAGTCTCACTCTGTTGCCCAGACTGGAGTGC